CGGCGCCACGGGCGGCAGCAGCAGGAGCCCCGTGAGCCCCGTGCTCGGCGCCGCCTCGGCCTCGGCGGGGACGAGCGCCGCCGCGTCCGTCTTGGCGGCCGCGGGGCCGGCGACGGCCGACGCGCCGCCGCCGACGAGAAAGTGGCGCCGCGAGGGGAGGGAGAGGGCCGCGGTGCCGTGGATGCACGCGCAGGCCACCAGGAGGCCCCGCATCGTAATTTTCGGGGGCGGGGTGCAAGTGTATGATATTGTGCTTCGGAGACGGGCGGGGGCGCCGCGGGGTGCTGCTGTGGGCACGCCGACGACGGGGTGCGACGGAAGGACGGCTCGGTTCTCGAGCGCTCGTCAAACTCAAGGCAACGTCTACCTCAACCGGCTAGCCGAGCTCGTGTCCGTGAGGGCTGCCCGATCACAGTTTGCGCCGTCAAATGGCCATATCTGCGGTATTCATTTAGGTCCGAGGGCTGCCCTTTCGCGATGACCACCGAAGACGATCCCAAATGGCGCATCTTCTGCGTGGCCCGCATCAAGCCCGTCGGCGAGGGCGAGGCCGCCGCCGTGGTCCAGGAGAGCGCCACGCAGCTCAGCGTGCCGCACCCCGACGACGACGACGAGGAGCCGACGGAGGGGCGCCTCACCTTCACCATGGACGCCATCTGCGGCCCCGAGGCGACGCAGCAGGACGTCTACGCGCTCTTCAAGCCCATCGTCGCGTCGACGTGCAAGGGCCGCAACGGCTGCGTCTTCGCCTACGGGCAGACGGGCAGCGGCAAGACGCACACGGTCGTCGGCGGCGACGACTTCCGGAGCCGGGGCCTCGTGCCGCGGGCCATCGGCCAGGTCTTCCGCGAGGCGGCGAAGCGGCGGAGGAAGGGCGGCGACGTGGCCGTGTCCTGCACCTTCGCGCAGGTCTACGACGACGCGCTCTACGACCTCCTCGACGAGGGCAACGAGTCCGACGACGTCGGCGAGTGGACGAAGGCGTCGGTCCTCGAGGGCGACGACGGGTCCCTGACCTTCGAGGGGCTCGCGGAGTACGGCGCGGACGAGGAGGAGGACGCGCTCCGGCTGCTCTGGGTCGGCACCGCGCGGCGCGTCCTCGGGCAGACCAAGGCCAACGACGCGAGCTCGCGGTCCCACGCCGTCTTCACCATCTACGTCGTCGACGCGCAGCGCAAGACGCGCGCGAAGCTCCACCTCGTCGACCTCGCGGGCTCCGAGCGCTTCGGCGCGTGGAGCGACGGCCGGCGCGGGACGCGGGCGCGAACTTCCCGACTTCACAGGCGCCGATCTCGGGCCGCGTTCCGGCCCCGATGTTTGGACGAGCGCTCCTCCCTCGGAGCGCTCTCGGATGCTCGTTCCGGAACGCGCGCGCGCGGCGCGCCCGCGCCGAGGCGACGTCGACGCGCGCCGGTCCCGCGCAGGCGACGGCGGCGCGTCCGCGGAGTCGCGGAACATCAACCTGAGCCTCCACTACCTCGAGCAGGTCGTCCGGGCGCTGCGGGACGGCGCCGACGAGCCGCGCCACGTGCCCTACCGCAACTGCGTGCTCACGTCCATGCTCCGCGACTCGCTCGGCGGCAACCAGGGCAGGAAAAGAGAGCGAAATTCCCAACTTCAAAGGCTCCGATCTCGGCCGTTTCCCACTCGTTTCGGCTGATTTTTGGACGAGCGATCATCTCTCGGAACGGTCTCGAAGCATGGATGCTTTTTCCGGAACGCGCGCGCGCGGAACACTCACGTTGAAGCGACGTTGAATCACCCTTTTCCTGCCCAGGCGGCAACTGCCGGACCGCGCTCGTCGCGTGCGCGTCCGCGGCGCGCGACCACGCGGCGGAGTCGACGGCGACGTGCCGCTTCGCGCTGCGCTGCGGCGACGTGCGCGCCGTCGACGTCGTCGCCAACGTCGACGTGGACCCGCGCGACGCCGCGCTCGCGAGCTACCGCGCCGAGGCCGAGAGGCTCCGGGCCGACGCGCGCGCGCGGGACGCGGACCTCGCGGAGGCGTCGGCCCAGGCGGCCATCGCCATGCGCCTCGCGTCGTCCTTCGAGGCCAAGGCGTCGGGCCTCCAGCGGCGCCTCGACGAGGCGACGGCGCGGCTCGAGGCCGTGCCCGCGCGGCGAGACAGCCGCCGCGACCGGTCCTACAGCGAAGATAGTGAGGGCCGGGGGCCGCCCGCGGCGCCGCTGGCGCCCACGGGCGCCGCCGCCGCCGAGGAGCCGGCGAAGGAGAACCTCGCGCCGCCGCCGCGCCGCGAGGCGGGCCCGGCGAAGCGGCGCGCGTCCGCGGGGCCGCCCGCGCCGCCGCCGGAGCGGCTCCGCGCGGAGATGCTCCAGCGCGGCCGGGCGCTCCTCAAGCACGGCCGGCGGGGCGGCGTCTACGTGCGCTTCGTCTGGGTGAGCCCCGAGGACGCGCGGCTCTGCTGGCGCAAGTTCGGCGGCGGCGGCGACCACGCGGCGGAGGACGACGCGGACCCGACGAGCGACGCGGCGTCGGGCTTCGTGTCCCTGCGCGACTACGCCCACGTCCAACCCGCGGCCGGCGGGCGCAAGCGCGACGACCTCGCGACCTGCGCGCTCACGCTGCACGCGGCCGCGGGCGCGAAGCTGTGTGGAAATCAACCAGCGGAATGGACGCGTCCAGCAAAACTTCAAACCTCTCTATCTCGGTCAAATCGAAGTCGATTCGGCTGATTTTTGGACGAATCGATTGCTCTCGTCGAGTTCTCGAAGCACAGCCGAAGAGCTTGCATCTAAACTGTCGCATACGCGCACATTGAAGTCGGGTTGAAACTTGATTTCCACACAGGCGCGAAGCAGCGCGCGCTCACGCTCCAGTTCGACGCGGGCGCCGCGGCGGCGTCGGCCAAGGTCCGCGACGACTGGCTCACGGCCCTGCGCGAGGCCATCGACGCCGCGCGGGACCTGGTCCTGTGATATGTGGCGACGCCGGCGCCGCTCTAAAAGTGGGTGAAGCACTAGTTAACGTTGACGGCACGAATGCGCGGACGAGTGGGCAGCGTCTCATCTCAGCGTCTCCGCGGTCTGTTGCGCGAGGATCTCGGCAATGACGGAGACGCGGAAGCGGTCCATGGACTCGAGCTCCGGGTCGCGGACGCGCGCGAAGACGGCGCAGGACGCGCCGAACCTGAGCGGGACGTGGAAGCTCGACAAGGCGCGGTCCGAGGCCATCGACCCCTACCTCAAGGCCATGGGCCTCTGCCAGATCGCCATCGACGGCCACCACCAGAAGGAGGCGACGACGGACACGTTCTACACGCTGGACCAGAGCGCGACGTCCTTCAAGCAGCGGAAGGAGTCCTGGTCCGGGTCGAGCAGCCGCGACCTGGAATTCGACAAGCCGAGCCACGAGGGCGGCTGCCAGATCCCCAAGGTCATCACCGCGGCCGTCGTCGACAGCGCCGTCGTCATCACGACGGACATGGGCGCGGGCCGCACGCTCACGGACACGCGCTCCCTCGACGAGGACGGGGCCGCCATCAAGATGGAGCTGGAGTTGACGACGCCGGACGCGACGATCGCGCTGACGCGGTGGCTCGTCAAGTCGGAGCCGCCGAAGGCGCCCGCGGCGAAGGAGGACGAGGAGGAGGAGGAGTAAGGTGGTGTTTTACTGGACCCAGGCGCGCCGCGGGCCGCAGACGTCCTTGGGCGCGGACGACGGCGGCGCGGGCGCGCAGCCCGCGCACGTGCCCGCGCGCGCGACGCGGCGCCGCACCTCGGCGACGAGGGCGGCGTCGAGGCAGTTCTCCCGCGCGAAGGTCGCGTTGTAGTGGGCGACGTCCGGCGGCGCCGGCACGCGCTTGTTGCGCTTCGCGCCGCTGTAGGGGTTGTTCGACTGCGGCTTCCGGATGTGGACGTCGTCGCGGCCCGTGAGGTTGTGCTGGACCTCGTGCTGGATGTCGCCGTCGAGGAGGAAGACGTGGGTGAAGTAGGCGAGCGTCGCCAGCGCGGCCTTGAGGTCGCGCTTCGTCATGACGACGTCGCCGTCGTCGACGCCGACGAGGTGGCGCACGTAGAAGTTGGGCCGGTTGATGGACCCCCAGACGCGCGCGTGGTGGCCCATGGGCGTCGCGTTGAAAGTCGGCGACGCGAAGTCCTCGATGGTCGCGGTCCGCTTCTGCGCGGCGACGTCGGCCGCGCCGTAGCCGTTGTTCCGGAACTCCTTCTCGCTAAACGCGTGCAAAAAGAGCTCGCCGTAGTCCCGCAGGAACGTCGACGTGAAGCGCTGCCAGGGGTCGCGGAACACGGCCACGAGCGCGCCGCCGAGGCCCCGCCAGTCCGCGGAGAAGCCCCGGAGCTCGTCGGCCGTCGGGAACTCGGACCCGCGCTCGACCATGCAGACGTCCGCGCCCCGTCTGGCCATGTCCTCGGCGATGGCGAAGGCGCTGCGCTTGGCGCCGATGCGGAGCGGGTTCTCCGACACGCCGCGCCGGCCCTCGACGGTCCGCCGGAAGTTGCAGCCGCAGTTGTAGCCGCCCTCCCGGAGCTTCGCCTCCTTGAGCATGCGGCAAAACGACGTGCCGCCGGCCTTGTGGAAGTGCCAGAAGAGCACGAGCTTGCTCGTCTTGTTGTGGCGGGCCGTCGCCGTCGCGAGGAGGACGAGGAGGCAGCGCATGGTCGCATCACTAATCCATCATCATCTCTTAAGCTTCAATGTAGCCTCTGATATTCAAGGTGCCGTCCTCGCGGCTCAATCGAGTTTTGGCTCTCCCGATATTCAAAACGCTAGGGCCACTGCGGGCCTGACCGCGACGGCACCATGCTCTGGGTGGACAAGCACCGCCCCCTGGAGCTCGGGAAGATGAGCTACCACGGCGAGCTGAGCGAGCGGCTCGCGACGCTCGCCGCGGACGGCGACATCCCCCACCTGCTCTTCTACGGCCCGTCCGGCGCGGGCAAGAAGACGCGCATCATGGCGCTGCTGCGCGCGCTCTACGGCGCCGGCGCCGAGAAGCAGCGCCTCGAGCACCGCGACTTCAAGACGCCGACGAACAAGGCCATCGAGGTGACGACCGTCGCGTCGAACTACCACATCGAGATCAACCCGTCGGACGCGGGCAACAACGACCGCTACGTCGTCCAGGAGGTCATCAAGGAGATCGCCCAGTCCGGGTCGCTCCACAAGGGCGACAAGGGCCGCGTCGGCTACAAGGTCGTGCTCCTCGTCGAGGTCGACCGTTTGACGCGGCAGGCGCAGGCGGGCCTCCGGCGGACGATGGAGAAGTGCACGAGCAGCTGCCGCCTCATCCTCTGCTGCAACAACCCGTCCAAGGTCATCGACCCCCTGCGGTCGCGCTGCCTCGGCATCCGCGTCGCCGCGCCGACGGAGGCGGAGATCGTCGCCGCGCGCGACGGCGTCCCGCGGCCGCGACGATGTTCGAGAGATGTCGGCCGGGAACACGATGAACCATCGTGACCGTCGTGCTTCGTAGGTGCTGGACGACGTCGCGGCGCGCGAGCGCCTCGACCTGCCGCCCGCGCTCGCCGCGCGCATCGCCAAGGCGTCGAAGCGGAACCTGCGCCGGGCCATCCTGAGCCTCGAGGAGTGCAAGGTCCAGCAGTACCCCTTCGACGCGGCGCAGGCCGTGCCGCTGCCCGACTGGGAGCAGTACGTCGTCGCCATCGCGTCGGACATCGCGCGCGAGCAGTCGCCCCAGCGGCTGCTCGCGACGCGCGACAAGCTCTACGAGCTCTTGTCCAAGTGCATCCCCGCGGACGTCATCCTCAAGACCCTCGCGCGGGAGCTCCTCAAGAACCTCGACGACGAGATGAAGGCCGAGGTCCTCAAGTGGGCCGCGTTCTACGAGCACCGCATCACCCAGGGCAACAAGGAGATCTTCCACCTCGAGGCCTTCGTCGCCAAGTTCATGTGCCTCTACAAGAAGTTCATGATGGAGATGTTCGCCTAGGGCCCGACCTAAAGAGGCGCGCTTACGACTTCCGCTCGTCGCCGTCGCCGTCCGCGGCCTTGAGGCTCCGCTCCGAGAGCATCGACAGGCGGCGGCTCTTGGGCGCGACGGGCGCGAGGACCTTGGACGACGCCTGCCGCGCGGGCGCGGGCGCGGCGGCGGGCCGCCGCGCCGCGGGCTCGGGCTCCGGCGCGCCGAAGAGCCGCGCGGCCGCGGGCCCCGGCGGCGCGGCCTTGCGCGTCGCCGTCGCGCGCTCGAGCTCCTGGCGCCGGAGCGCGGCCTCCTCGGCGTCGCTGAGCTTCTTGGCGACGGGCGCCTTGTCCGCGCGCTTCAGCGCCGGCCAGGGGTCGAAGGGCCCGCGGACGAGGCGGCCGCGCGGCGGGTCGGCGAACGCGGCCGCCGGCCGCGGCGCGGCGTCGTCGGCGACGCCCGCGCGGTCCAGCGCGCGCTTCCGCAGGGCCGCGAGGTCGCGGTCGTCGGCCGCGCCGTCGCCGACGTGGAGGCTGTGCTTCTCGAGGAGCTTCCGCAGCGCGCGCGTCTCGTCCTCGGACGGCGACGCGGCCTCGACGGCGCGGACGGCGCGCGCGTAGTCCGCGCGCGCGCCCGACGGCGCCCCCTCGGCCCCGAGGGCCTTGGCCGTCTTCTTGAAGGCCTCGTCGGCCTCGCGCGACAGCTCCCGGAGGAGCTGGCGGCCGTACTGCTGCTGGAGGTACTCGGACCGCGCGTCCGCGAACGCGGCGTCGCGCTCCGCCCGCAGCTCCTCGAGCTTGGCCTCGAGGTCCGCGACGAGCTGGCGCCGGTCGTCGCGGCGCCGCTTCGCCGCCGCGTGGCGCGCCGCCGCCGCGTCGAGGTCCGCGGCCGACGGGTAGTGGTACGCCGGGTGGCGCCTGAGCTTGTCCGGCAGCGGCGGCAGCCGCTGGCGCCGCCGCTCGCCCTTGAGGCCGTCCCAGCCCGCGGGCACGGCGTCGCCGCGGTCGCGCGCGACGAGGAGCTGGAGCCGCTCGACGAGGCCCCGGCGCCACGCGGCCTTGGCGCCCGACGCGTCCAACCCGAACTTCGGCGGCAGAGACGCGTAGATGGCCCGGAGCTCGACGACGTCGTAGTCGCCGAGATTCTTGAAGGCCTCGGCGCCCGCGCCGTTGAGGAAGTTCGCGTTCTCGAGGTCGTCCGGGTGCGCCTGGACCCAGTGGAGCGGCCGCCGGGCCTTGAGCCGGTCCGCGAGGTCGTACGTGTAGTAGCCGCCCCAGGCCGCGGCCACGGCGTAGGCCTTCCGGTCGCTCTGCCGCTCGGGCTTGGCCTCGGCACCGCCGTCGGCACCGGCCCGCTTCTTCTTCGCGTTCGCCGCGGCCGTCGCGACGACGCGCGCCGCGCGCGACCGGAGCGACTCGCCCGTCTCCGCCGCGACGCCGGGGGGCACGAGGGTCCGCATGAGCGCCAGCGCGAACGTGTTCTCCGCGCGCTCGCGCGCCGCCCAGGCGCGCTCCTCGGCCGCGAGCGCGGCGCCGCGGTTCGGCGCGTCCGCCTCGCGCGTCCGCCACCGGTCGAGCGCCTCCTCGACGTCCCGGAGCTCGCCCTTGAGCGCGCCGAGCGCCGCCCGGGCGCCCGCGCAGTACGCGGCGAGGTGCTCGAGCGCGGCGACGCAGGCCGCGGCGACGCGCGCGTCGCGCGCGGCCTCGGCGGCGTCCGCGCGCTCCGCGCGCGCGAACGCCGCGGCCGCGTCGCGCGCCTCGTCGTCCCAGCGGTCCCACCACCAGCCCCGCGCCGGCGCCTCCTCCGCCTCGCCGTCCGACGCCTCGACGTCCGCCTCGGCGACGGCGACGACGCCCGCGAGCGCGTCGCCGGGCGCCGCGAACTCGGGCAGCGCGACGGGCAGCTTCGCCGCGTCGTCGCGGCCCCGGCCCAGCGCCTTCCTCAGCGCCGCGAGCGCCGACGCGACGCTCTTCTTCGGCCGACCGCCGCCGCCGCGGCCGCCGGCCAGCGCGGCCATGAGCGGGTTGCCGCCGCCGCCGCGGCCCGCCGCGGCCTTGGACAGCGCGCCCGCGAGGTCGAGCCGCTTCGCCGGCGGCGACGCGAGCTCCGCCATCCGCGGCGCCTCCGGCGCCGCCGCCTCCTCCGGCGCCTCCGCGGCGGGGAACAGCGCCGCGGCCGCCGTCGCGGGCACGGAGTCGAGGTCGACCGCGGCGGTGAGCGCCGTCGCGGTCGCGTCGCCGCCGAAGGGCAGGCGGCCGCGCTCGTCGAAGGTCGCCGCGCCGTCGGCGGCGTCGGAGTCGATGCTGTCGCGGTCGTCCTCGCGCGCCATGCTGTCGCGCTCCATGCCCGCGGCCATCGCCGCGACCTCGGCCTCCATCGTCGCCCGCGCGGCCTCGGCCTCCGCGGCGGCCGCGGCCGCGGCCGCGGCGCGCGCGCCGTCGGCGGCGACGACGCGGTCGGCCTCGGCCCGGGCGCGCTCGTCCCGCCGCGCCCGCCGCGCCTCCAGCGACCGGTTCGCGGCGTCGCGGAGGTCGCCGAGCGCGCGCTCCGCGGCGGGGTCCGACCCGAGGCGCGCCATGGCCTCGAGCTTGGACTGCTCCCACATGAGGCGGTCGTAGTCGCCCTCGGCGCGCTCGCGCTCGCGCTTCGCGAGGCCGTAGGGGTCGCTCGCGTCGCTCGACGCGAGCTTCCACTCGAGCTCGTCGTCGTTGAGGCCCGCGTGCGCCTGCGCGGAAATCGACCGGTGAGCCGGGACGTCGGGGCCGAACTTCAGAAATCTCGAGCTCGGTCACATCGACGTCGATTCGGCTGATTTTTGGACGAATCGATCGCTCTCGTCGAGTCCTCTACGGAGATCAGAACACGTCGCGTCGAAACTTTCAAATACGCTCACATTGAAGTCGGATTTGAGATTTCGGCCCGGGCGCGCGCCTGCAGGAGCGCGAGCTTCCGCTCGAGCTCCGCGGCGTACTCGCTCACGTCCTCGCGCTTCTCGCCGCTCCGCTTCGTCTGGAGGGACCGGAGCAGCTCGTCGTCGGCCGCGTCCTGCTCGGGCGTCCGCGCGGGCGCGGGCGCGGGCGCGGGCGCGGGCGCCGCGGGCGTCGCGGCCGCGGGCGCCTCGGCCTTCCGGGGCTTCCGCGCGGCGACGCGCTTCGCGATCTGGGCGCCGCCGCTGAGCATCTTCTTGAGCGTCGACTTCTTCTTCTTCTTCCGCTCGGCCGCGGGCGCCGCGCCGCCGGCGCCGTCGCCGTCGTCGTCGTCGACCCACGACCCGGCCGAGTCGCTCGTCGGCGTCCGCGCGCACCGCGGGGGCGCGAGCTCGTCGCTCGGCGACGGCGACGGCGACGCCAGCGCCGACTCGAGCGCGGCGAGCGGCGGCAGGGGCGCGGACGCGTCGGCGGCCGCCGCCGCCGCGGCGCCGCCGGCCTCCGGCGGCGCCTCGAACCGCGTCGCCCGGGCCGGCACCTCGTCGCCGTCGGAGGGCGCGCCGTCGCCGTCGGAGGGCGCGCCGTCGCCGCCGGAGGGCGCGCCGTCGCCGTCGTCGCCGTCGAGGTCGCGGCCGTCGTCGGGCACGGGGTTCGGCGCGGCGCCGGCGGCGGCGGCCGCCGCGGCGCCGTCGTCGTCGCCGAGCTCCTCGAAGTTGACGCCCGCGAAGGTCTCCGGGCCCGGCTGCGGCGACGGCGACTTGCCCCCCGCGAGGCGGATGCTCCCGAAGCGCTTCGCCAGGCTCTCGGAGCTCCGCGCGAAGCCCGCGGCGAGCTTGGCGGCCGCGGCGGACGCGTCCTTGGCCGCCGCCGCCGCGCGGTCCGCCGCGGACGGGCCCCGGGGCCGCGGCCGCGGCTCGGCCTCGTCGTCGGGCCGGCCGATGATGTCCTCGATGGAGCGCACGAGCGAGTCCTCCGACGCCGCGGAGTGCCGCGAGTCCACCGACGACCGCGCGCGCGACCGCTGGCCGGGAGGCGTCGCCGGCGCGGCGTCGTCGTCGCCGTCCGAGTCCTCGAGCAGCTCCTCGAGGCGCCTCCGCGCCACGGACGGGCTCACGGGCGCCTCGGCGGCGGCCGCCGCGGGGGCGGCGGCCGCCGGCGCCGCCGCGCCGCCGCCCGCCGCGGGCGGCTTCGGCGGCGCGCGCGCCGGAACCGCGGGCCGCGGCGGCGGCGGCGGCGCGGCCGCCGCCGGGTCGGACGGCGGGTCGTCGTCCAACAAGTCCAGGAGCTTCGCCCGCGGCGCCGACACGAACACGCCGACCTGGGCGCGCTCCGTGACGCTGTCGTCCCGCGCCGCGACGTCGTCGTCCTCGGCCAAAATCTCGGCGATGGAGCTGCTCAAGCCCAGCTCCTTCTGCGACTCGTCGTCCGACGAGTCCACGAGCAAGTCGGCGAGCGACGACGACGTCGTCGCCATCGTCTAGAGCTTTTCGAAGTCAATTTGGACGCCCATCGTGCCACTGGCGGCCTCGGACAAAAGACGCGCGCTTTGGAGGTCGACGCCGACGCTCATCTGGTGCGCCCGCTCTCCCCTCCCGCGCCGAACGCCCCCGCCGCCCCGCGGGAATCGCCGGGCGAGGTTCTCTACGCCGCCCCAGAGCCCCCGGCCGGCGACCCGCGGTCGCCGGGGCGGATTTTTAGCGGTCGCCGGGGCGGATTTTTACGGGCGAAGCATGAACCCCTACCAGCAGCAACAGGGCGCGTATAACCCCATGGCGGCGTACTACGCCCAGCAACAACAACAGCAGCAGGCCTACGCCTACCAGCAGCAGATGGCCCAGCCCTACCAGCAGCAGCCCCAGTACGGCGCGCCGCCGCGTCCCCCCCCCCGCGCGCCGCGCGCGTCCGCCGACCCCCCGCCTTCCGCAGGCTACCAGCAGCAGCCGCAGATGTACCAGCAGCCGCCGCCGCAGCAGATGTACCAGCAGCCCATGTACCAGCAGCAGCCGCAGATGTACCAGCAGCCCGCGCCGCCGCCGCCGCCCGCGCCCGCGGCGCCGCCGCCGCCGCCGCCCGCGGCGTACGCGCCGCCGCCCGCGCCCGTCGCGGCCGCGGCGCCCGCGGCGGGCGGCGGCGAGCTGCCGACGATGGCCCTCGTGCCCATGAACGTCTTCGTGGGCAAGCTGCCCCTCGCGGTCCACGACAGCTTCGTCGAGGCGATGCTCAAACAGTGCGGCGGCGTGCTCAAGTGGAAGCGGACGATGGACAGCGAGACCGACCGGCCCAAGGCCTTCGGGTTCTGCACCTTCGGCAACGCCGAGGGCGCCATGCAGGCCGTCAAGCTCCTCAACGACTTCCCCCTCGAGGGCCAGAAGATCCTCGTCAAGGTCGGCCGCAAGGAGCAGGTCATCATCGACGAGATGGTCGCGCGGCGGAACCGCAGCGCCGCGCCCGGCGGCGCCGTGCTCAGCGCGGCGCCGTCGGCGGGCGCGGGCACGGCGCGGACGCCCGCCGACGAGGCCCAGCTCGGGCGCATCCGCGCGTTCGTCGCGTCCGTCGACTCGCGCGCGCCAGTGTCCGCGGACGCCGCCGCGCGGATCCTCGGCGCGCCGGCGGCGGACAGCACGCTCGCCACGGCGGCGGCGGCGGCGGCGGGCGCCCCCGTGGCGCCGCCGGTCCTCGCGGCCATCGCCGCGGCGCCCGCGGCGCCGGGGTCGGCGCACGAGCGCATGATCCGGGGCAGGAAAAGAGTGCGAAATTCCCAACTTCAAAGGCTCCTCTCTCGGCCGTTTCCCACTCGTTTTGGCTGATTTTTGGACGAGCGATCATCTCTCGGAACGGTCTCGAAGCGTGGATGCGTTTTCCGGAACGCGCGCGCGCGGAACGCTCACGTTGAAGCGAACTTGAATCACTCTGTTCCCGCCCAGGCATGATCGCCGAAGAGATGGAGAAGTTCCGCGCCAAGCAGGCCCAGCGCGACCGCGAGCTCGAGGACGAGCGCCGCCGCAAGCTCCAGGCCAAGATCCAGGAGACCATGAACCTCGAGAAGGGCATCAAGGAGGGCCTCGAGAAGGCCGCGGACGCGAAGCGGCAGCCCGACAGGTCCGCGCCCCCCCCGACATCCCCCGCGCGCGCGCCGCGCCGACGCCCGCCCGCCCGCAGGCCCAAGCAGCCCGAGCCCTACACCTACGACGGCGAGTCGGCGGCGAAGCGCGCGCGCCTCGACGACGCCGCGGCGCGGGACCGCGCGGACGCGCCCGTGGCCCCGCCGCGCCCGAGCTCGCGGCCCGCGCGCGCCGCCGACGCGCGCCGCCCCCGCGCAGAGCGAACTCAAGCCGACGGGGTCCAAGCTCGGCTTCGGCCTCAGCGCCAAGGGCACGCGCGCGGGAGCGCGCCGCGTCGAAGCGCGGCGCCGGCGCCCCCGGGACGCGGTCCCCCCGCGCGCGCGCCGAGCCGCGCGCGCGCGCAGGTGTCGGCGTTCAAAACCGAGGCGGCGGACAAGCCGCGGCCCCTCCAGCCCCTGGATTACAGCGAGGAGGAGGCGTCCGTCGCGGCGGACGCGCGAGCGATCACGTCTTCATTGCAATCCGAGTCCGGTGATTCCGATAACCCTCCGCCCGCGCCCGCGAGCGACGCCCCTCCTCCAGCGACGCTGGGTGCGGACGAGAAGAAGCGGGACCGGGCCATCGCCGAGCGCATTCCCACGGAGAAAGCCGCCCTCTTCGCGAGCCACGTCGACTGGGCCGCCGCGCGTACCGCCGCGTCCTGTTTCGCCGGCGCCGCCGTTCGCGACGCGCCCCCCCCCCCGCCAGGTCGAGCGCCACGCCATCGTGCGATCGAAACTGCGGCCGTGGGTCGCGAAAAAGATTGCAGAGTACCTCGGAGAAGAAGAACCCACCCTCATAGATTTCGTGCTCTCGTGCCTCGACCGCCGCGCTCGACCCGAGGAGATCCTCGACGAGCTCGCGCTCGTGCTCGAGGAGGACGCGCAGGTCCTCGTGGTCAAGCTGTGGCGCGTGCTCCTCTTCCACGCCGCCAAGGCCGCGACGGCGTGAGACGGGTCGCAGAGTCAGCGGACGATCCCAGGCGTTTTCTTGTTCATCGCCTCGCGCCTTGGACAACCCGATTTGGAAACCAGGTTCTTTGCCGCGCCGACGCCGCGGGCGGCCAAGGGGCGGGACGGCGGCGACGACGCGCGGACGCGGGGGCAGGACGGACGGATAAATGTGCTCACAGGTGGCTCTAGAGTCGTGCGGGGGCTGGGGCTTTTGGCACGGCCAGCCGTGAGGCGTGCTCGAGAAGTCAGCCTCCGAGTCTCTCACTTAGTCTCTCGTGCTGGAGCTGTGAGACCAACGGCTAGTGTTTCCTTCACTTGAAGTCAAGCATGTCAAGCTCACGCTTCTTCCGTGGCTGATTTCCGCGCATTCCCGATGGCTCGTGGATGGGCAGCCCCAGAAACCAAACACAAGCAAGCATGCAATCACGCCAGAGCCACGGCAAGATGTCGCGGAACGCGTCGCCCCGCGACGTCTTCGCGGACCTCCACGACGGCGACCTCGCGGTGGGTGGCATCGACGAGACGACGCACCGCATCGACCGCCGCGCGCGCCTCGGCGGCATGGAGCACGTCAAAGGGGCCCCGAAACAGCTCATCTGCTACGTCTGCGGCAACGACTTTGGCACGGCGTCCCTCAAGATCCACGAGAAGAGCTGCCGCAAGAAGCGCACCACGGACCAGGCGCTCCTCCCGCGCGGCTGGCGGAGGCCCGAGCCCGCGGGCCCGGCGCTCCCCGCACCGCGGTCCAAGAAGGACGGCGGCTTCGACGCCTACAACGCCGAGGCCTGGCGCATCTACTGCTCCGGCGTCGGCCGCTGCTGCGGCGCCTGCGGCGAGCCCTTTTCGTCGCCGGAGCGCGAGGCCGCGCACGTCTGCGACGTCGCCGGCGGCCGCCCGTCGTACCTGCCGCGCTGCGTGCCGACGCCGGCGCCGCGGCCCGAGCCCAGGGCGGTGTCGAAGCTCCACGAGGCCGTCGAGGCGGCGGCGGCCGAGGACCCCTGGGCGTCGGCCGCCTGGGAGACGTACGACGAGGTGCGCGGCCGCGCGACGGACGACATCCTCGCGGCGCTCCACGTCGCGGCCACGCCGGAGAACGTCGCGGGCCTCGAGCGCGTCGTCCGCGGCGGCGCGACGCTCTCGAGCCTCGCCCACTTCTGGCGGGCCGCGCGCGCGGCGCCGGCCGCGGCCGCGACCGTGACCGTCGACAGCCACGACGACAGCCACGACACGGTCGTCAACAACTTCGCGGGCGCCGCCGCGGGCGTCCCCGCCGCGGCCGCGGCGGCGACGCCGTGGACGTCCCTGGGCTTCCCCGCCATCGCGCCGGCCCAGGGCCGCGTGAGCAGGTGGAAGAAGGCGGGCCTCGGCGTCGTCGCGGCGCTTCGGTTCCGCTCGGCCGCGCGGGCGCGGGCGCCCGAGGCCGCGGCGGCCTCCGACGCGGCGACGATGACGGACGCCGACGACGCGCTCGCCGCCTGCCGGGAGTCGCTCGCGGCCGCGCGCGCGGCGCTCGCGGCGGCCGCCGCGGAGCGCGACGCCGCGCTCGAGCGCGTCGCGTCGGGCGCGGGCGAGCGCGCGCGGCGCGAGGCGGACATCGCGGCGCTCGAAGCGGAGCGGGCGGCGCGCGCCGACGCCGTGCGGCGCCGCGAGCTCGAGGCCGACGCGTTCAAGAAGGCCGCGGAGGCCGAGATCGCCGCGTTCCGCGAGCGCGGGTCCTCTAGAGC